TTACAGGTGGTTTTACTACAAGAAGAAAAGCATTTGATGGAAAAGTTACACAATGCACCTTTAAATATGTCAGCCCTATAACCCATTTGACAAAAACCTGGAAGCAAAGGCGTATAGGTCTGATAACTAGGGACACACTGATCCCGTTTTTTCAGTTCCAATGATGATATCGATACTATGACTTTAAGTATTTGCTGATATCCAGTTCACTGATAACTCTGTAGGAACAGAAAATGGCACAATTTCCTTAAAACACAGTTAACTTATTACAAAAGAGATCCAATTGTGTTATGCAACTGTTATTTGTCTTTCACATCACTAAAGAAGCCCTTAATATAAATACAAGTTAAAACATTATCAGACTTTCTAGGCCAAAATCAGTCTGTAAATAGTCTGATTCTAGTCTAATTAAAGCCCCGGGCAGGATATCTGCTGAACTGATATCAGGAAACGAATACTTGATTTAGCTAGTTTTTCAGTACTGATGCCCAGTATCGGTATCGGTACATCCCTACAAGTAATGGTTACACTGTTTATGCTCACTACATGTATTCACACATTAACTGTGTGTAAGAAATTTGTTCTAATATCAAGAAGATTTAGGCTTAGGTCACAATGTTTTAAAATGTCATTGTATTTATATTTATGAATATGGTAGCTTCCTTTGTCATACCAGCAGGTGGGAGGCACTACATTGAAGTTCTGTCTGGTTTGGCAGGTACCTATAATTTTCTTATTTATAAACATGCTTTTCTGTGGCATTTGAAGTACTGGTAAAGAGCAGAAAGGTAATAAAGGTCCTATATTAAGCAAAATTATCTTGCTTTAAGTCATGTTGTAATGCTGTTACCTCATCTAAAACATACCTGACGTTGTGTTTTGTTTCATTCACACAAATATTTGAGTGATCCTACATTATTAATCTGTCGACATCTCCAAAGCTCAAAATGTTGTGTTCCACTTTGTGATGTCATGTAGTAATAGTTTTCAAGTTAAGAGCTACTTTTTACCTTTAATTCAGTAAAGATTTCCAATTCCAGGGCTGAAATTATCTAAATTATTCTAGTGAATGTTGTATGAAGTTTTAAAACACAGTGGAGCACCTCCTCTATTATCACATGACATCACAAGTTGGAACAGAAGTATTTCCCATTTGAGAGAATGAAACAAAATACAACTTCAGGTATGTTTTTGATGTGGAAATAACATTATAACAGATCAGAAAATAGCATAATATCGGCCCTTTAAAGAGAAGTTTACCGTTTCATAAAATTTATGAGTATACATTTGTTGATAAAATTTTGCCACGGATTATCATGATCAAATTGAGCCCTATGCAGTACATGTTTATGACTACACTAAGAATAACTGAAAAACCAGACAAAACAGTAACATTTATTTGTCCAACCATTTTAGCGATCACAGTATCACAATGAGAAGGGCTGGGCAGGTTATTTTGTTATGGTGTTAGCATTTGAGAAGAGGCTGCAGGAAGCTCTAGGTTTATGTAGTTTTAGACTGGTTTTAGTTGGGGTGGATAAGTTAAGGTTAGTTGAGGCTTAGGTTAGACTAAGGTTAGGCTAAAGTTAGGGTTAGGTTAATAAAGCAGGTTGATCAGGTGTAAAATTATCATGGGAAAAAGTGTCAGGAGTGGGTGTAAATAAAATGGGTTGAATTAAAATTAAATTAAGGTTAAACTCAAACACAAGAAATAAAAAATCAATAATGCTCCTTCATTTCTTTTACTCTTCTGCGGGCACCATATCAAATTAGTTGCTGCATTTTATCATTCAGATTGCAATATGACATCGTTTTGGGACTAGGGGCCGAATTTGTAGCCAACCACATTTTTAATAGCTTTATAAAGACCTGAGATTGCCTACAGCTTTTCAGTCTGCTCAGGCCAGACGGTATCAAGATACAATGGCAAATCCACCTGTGTTGGGCACACAGCCTAGTGACCATAAGCCCCTCTTTAAAGCTTTTGGTCAGCCAGAGGTTGATCAGCTTACGGTGACAATGACCTCAAAATACCTCCATAGGCCACTGACCTCCTCACATTATCAAATACAGCATGATTCTCTGCACTGAAAGCCCCAGCTGTTTTGTCCGACAAGCCTCCAAATATTAAAAATGTGAGTGAAGGACATCTCTGGACTGGCTTGTGGCAGTGTGGCGATGCCCATCTGTGTGTGGGGCAGACAAGGTGGCGTGATTGGCTCGGTGTCAGAGTGACCAGCGCTCGGAGGGCATCTGGCTGACCTTCTCAACGCCACAGACACCCATCTTAAAGCCCACAGGGGTCACAGCGGGGCCCGGCATCAGCCTGAAGAGATGCCACATCCACAGAGGAGAGAGCCCACCCCCACTGCGCCGCTTTGATGTCCGCAAATATGACTCATTTTCATTCCATTTAGGATGAAGTATAATAAAACTCCGTGTGACTTCTGTCAAAACTGTGCATAAATCAGACCTGGATGAAAGTGCTGTCTCTAAACCTGTGTATAAAGTCACAGGATAATCTTTCCCAAAGTGAGCTCCTCCCATCCGCTCACTGTCTCTCAGGCGTGTGCTTAATCAGTTGTGGTTGACAAGGCCAGCGAGGGCTTGGGGTCTGCAGCCACAGGGACTGGGGTAGAAATGTCAGGCTCCCTCCACACCTCCAGAGAAGCTCCTCAGGGGACTTCTGCGCAAATATCACTGCCCCCGCCAGCACAGCACGCACTGGCACATAAGTAAGCAGTCAGCCCGCCCGGCCCCTACCTAACGGCCGCGTAGTGATCTTTGAGTTTATGGATTAAAATGTGCTAATGTTGTCTTTTGTCTCCAGGGAAGGTGTAGATCAGGTTATACTGTATTAGAAGCACACATGAGGTAGATTGATATTTATGAGCTGAAAAGGAAATCTGTCTATTCAAATACCAATTCACATATCTCTCCTGAAGTTATTATTTGTAGCTAACTATCAAACTCCACTCCTACCCACCGCATTGGAAAGTATGTCAGTAATAAATCAAAACAATGCCTAAACTAACTCATAAGAAGGATTCCATTTTTGCTTTGAAAATAAGAGCAAAACTGTAAAAAAAAAAACAGGCATGATTAACTAAAGGAGGCTGCAGTACATCTACATAAATCATATCTAACAAGTATTACATAAAAATACTAGGGCAAAAATGCAACCTCTCCAAAGTAATATCACCTTACAGGGCCCGGGTACAGAAACAAGGAAAAGCAATTTCCTCATACGGGACTACATACACAGAATCTGAACTAAAAGAAACATATTTCCATCTCAAGACTGACAGCTCCAAAGCTCAGAGGGGGTAGAGAATGCAGCCAAATGTAAGCTAACCTCCAGGAGAGACATAGCTAGAGGTTTTTGGTGAGTGAATATGTGGGCCAATCTGCGACGCAAAAAAAAAAAAAAAGAAAATATTTGACTAAGACAGAAAAGTAAACACCGCCCGCTCATGGAATCTCATAGTGTTCAGAGATGGCCATGTTTTTGTAGAGGCCTTCACCTGGAAATAACTCAACATACTCCAAGATTCTATCCACTATCTACACTTTCCAAGGATATTTTCAGACTGCAAGGTGGATATTGTGAAATGTGAGGGCTAAAAATGACCCTTTACTTGCACAGTATAGCTTTAAAATATGGGAGGTAGTGTCCAGTGAAGAAATAATTACATTGGAGTCCAACAGAGTCCAATTATTTTCTCAAAGACAGAAGAAAGGAAGACTAACAGACTAAAATGTGGATACACGTAGGTTATATTTAATGAGGAAAAATAGCGTAACTTTCCCCATAAATCTTAATGCCATTGAATACATTAAGGAGGCTGCCCAGTTGTCTTCCAAACTATTTGACCTTGAAACCCCTACCTCACAAAAAGTACTGAAGTAAGATAAAGTTTTGTTTGGAGACAGTGCAAAACAAAACAAAATAAAAGGATGTGGAACAGAACTTGATAAAAAAAAAAAAAAAAAGCATTGAGGGAGCGTGAGGGCAAGGAGAGAGCATGGGATACATGCATTTTTGGAAAGTAGTTGAAATATGCCATCTGCTTCAAGGAGAGTGGGTGGGCTTTCTAGGCTAAAGCAAGAGACTTACCAATGGTATCTGCAAAATGAAAGTACAAGAAAATAATTAAGTTTAGTCTTGTATAAGTTTAATTTACATTTTGTGTTATTTGAATATTAGCAGTGTTTTATTTGAGATTTTGAGGTTCTTGGTTTTAAATTAGTGTTATCCATTCTGACCGAGTGAAATGTCATGAATACTCTGATGCCACTTGAAGTACATCAGAGTTTCAGACATATAGACACATGAAAACATACAAAAAATAGAACAAGCCAGCAGTTTTATAGACAGGACACAGACAGTTCAGACACATAGACAGATGTATCAAATAGACAGGGACAGACAATTTCCCAAAACCTATTCTGAAGGCAATATATTCAGAAATACCAAGGCAAAGCAGTTCTTTAGAATAGCAGAAAGAATAGTGTGGCCTCCTGATAGATAATGAATAAAGAGTTATGTGCCCATAAGAAGTCAACAGATATGTGTGTCATCTAGTCTGATTTAAAACAAATCAAATACAAGCCATTCGATTTTTCCAAATGGTGACAAGTTAGACTGACCTAAAATATCTAGCCCTTATTGCCCAGGGCTACTCCAAGCTTGGCTCTTAATTAGCTCCATAATTAGGCTCTGTGCTGTCCTAGGCCTCAGTGGGGTTTAATCAATGGGAACAAGACAACACATCCACTACAGAGCTCTGTCACCAGAATACAGACTTTGAATTCATTGCCTGCTATGACACACTGGCAAGCTGCTGTGAATCATTTGATCTTGCCTCGTGATTGCACACTATGTCATAAGTAATCAATTATACAACTTTTTTTTCCCATTTGACTGTGAATCTACTTCTAGGTCCAGAAAATACAATGTTTTTACAGTCTGAACAATAACAAAAGTAGGTGAGGCTTACCTGAACGTAGTTGTTTGATTCGCCCTTCACTGGCACTAGGGTCAATGGGCAGGAAATCCTTGTACCATGTGATCTCGGGGTCAGGATTGCCGCTGGCCGCACACAGCATAGTGGCAGTTCGGGTCCGCTCCACCACTTTGAGTTGGGGGCCCATGTCGATGTTGGGGAAACCCTGAGGCAGCAGATCCTCTGTAAGAAACAAACAAAGCAAATAGTTATCTTCTGCTATAAAGTTACAAAAACACTCAGCAATTACCAGTAGTTGCTAATAATTTGAATGCTACATTAGGAGTAATGTTCAAACTATTAGCACTAAGAGGACATGTATTACAGCATATTCTTTGATTGTAACAGTTACGGACAATCTATCTCTCCCATTTCTCCTTGAGAGATGCACGATTATCCATGATCCAAGGCCTGACCTGTGTGCAGATGTGACTCTATATCTCTACATCTTTATAGGCTGATTTGTATATCTGTGACACTAACCATAGGCAGTGCACTTCTTCTCAGTGCAGCATAACATAGAATCTAATCCTTTCCATATCTGAAGACGATGTTCTATAAATACTCCCTGGCTGCTAATCTCTGTGCGGCCTGAGCACTTATTTCACAGTTAAGATATGAGAGCATGTATATTACAACCATTGTTCCCTCTCAGAGCCTCATGAGGCTGCCTCTCACAGGGCAATTAGTGCGATGGGTCAAAGCTGCGTGACCCTCCTCACAGAGCAGCCACAGCACTGAGTCAGTGTGAGATGATCAGATCCGAGGGGGAACTACCCACGGCTCTTATATGCATCACAAGCCCAAGGTCAGCCTGTTCTCAGAAGATCGACTGACTAAGACTCGGCCAGTAGCACCGCGCAGGTCGCCCTTCATCTGGAGAGCGGGTGACCTCATGTCCACTCTGCTACACGGCTAGAGCATTGTTGTCACCCTGGGAGCACTAAATTAAGGATCATTAGTGCAATAATTGTAGATTTATTTTGAGAATTGTATGGCTGTGGTGACAAGGTCAGTGACTTGATTAGATAATTTTAGACTGTGCAATTATAAGATTTATAAACAGTATTCTTTATCACACATCCATCTCCTGTCACTGTATGAAGTACAGTGGTTTGGATTCATTCAGAAGGGATGAAGAAGGTAGTAAGCAGGAGGTCCAGTTTGATTGCTTCTACTGTAACTAAAACTGACATCTGCAAAGCACAATGAATATTTCATAGCTGGCTTCAAAGAAGCACTGGCATTTACACAGTTTTAGGCTCTGCGCTGTATCCTCTTTATCGAATATTCATAATCATCCCCTGTATAATCGCTTAGCAACCTGCCCTGGAGCTCAGGAAAGTAAGCCACCCATTCATTTAGAAACGCCAGAACGTACAACTACTTTAGGAACGGAAAGCTCACAGCTGTACTAAAAACACATCCAGAAACTGAAGATGGATCTGCTGACACTGTGTACCGTTTAAGAATAATTTCAAACTATGTGCAAAACATTAAAGACATGGAACCCCAGAGCAAAGGTCAAAACCCATGTGCAAGTGGCTTTGTGACAAACAAAAGTGTTCCTCGCGATAGTGGTGAATGAAGAGCTAGTAAAAGCCTTTAAAGATAATACAAGGGGCTGATGCTATCTGCACAGCTGCTCCGACCTGATACAGCGCCAATGGTTTCCTGAAGAAATGAGAACTACGCTGGTTACTTACTTCTACAAGAATAGACTCTGATAGCATCTCTTTCTCCTGAAGCTTACAGGCTCCATCGATAAAGGCACCCATGCAAAAATAAATAGATCACTCATCGGGGAGTGTTACTGGAGGGTTAGCTATAGCCTGTCGGGGAAGGAGAGGAGGCCAGCAATGACATGAGGCTGATAGGATCCCAGGAATTCCCAAAGGGCTGCTTCCCACATAATGCTGTAGCAATTGCTTTTGTGATGGGGACCAGGCCTTCGCTGCAATGACAAATCTTTACAGGGCCAAGATGAATTAGTGTGTTCGCTCCATTGGTCAATAATGTAGAGTATATTTTGCCTGGAGCAGATTTCGTCACTTTTAGTCAATTTGATTTGACATTCACACACATTCATGGCATTATGTTGGAGAATCTGTGTGACATCTATTGTGGCAGTGGCATGCCTGGATAAAAGGAATGTTGGGAAAAATGCTAAATCAAAATGCAGAAATTAGTTTAAAGATCCTATGTTACACAAAACTGACTCCTGTGAGCTTTTAGCCATGTTAGAATGTTGATACCTCCTCAAAAAACACAAATTATAACATAGATCAGAAAATAGCGTAATTTAAAATAAGGAAAATCTCTTATAATACCAACTGGCGCTCAAGTTATAATTGGGCATTAACAATTTTGTGCCAGTTTCAAGTCTGTGTAAATAGATGTATAACAGTCCCAGACAAAATGGCAAAGAATTTAATAATCCTTAACAACAGTGAGGAGAAAGACAGTTCAGAAAAGAAAAAAAATACAAAAAAACAACTTTATTAATCATACTCCCAAGCAGACCACAGGTGCAAAACTAAATCTAAAGGCGAGTTTTAATCTTCCAAACAACACTGCCTGAGACTCCTTTGTTGTGCCACCTCATTTTCTTAAGTGCTCTAAAAAGCCCCCAGGTGCACCCCACTGAAGCAGAAGAAACACTCAAATCCAGGGTTAGAATGGTGACTAGCAGGCACACAGCTTATATACCTGCCCACTGTGATCAATAGTATGTGAAGCTAAGGGAGGGGGCTTTTAAGAGATGAAAGTTTAATAATGCAGAAAAACACTATTTATCAAAACATTCACAATTACAAATACGAATGTTCAGAAATGGCTGATTTAGTTGTAGGTTCAGTGTAAGTTAAGCAGGGTGTTTGTAAAAGTCCTCGGTTGAACCATTTCAATATTACTGCACACAATAGTGACAGGTGCAAAGCTTTCAATCAACCACTGGATAATCGCTAATCAGCTAATGTCCTCACATATCCTTGTTTTCTATTATTTTTGTGTACCCGTTCCATTTAAGTGGTTGTCGGCACAATACTGCACACTACAGTGAACTATACTTGTGCGTTTATTGTGACCATGAAATTAATGGATTTTGAGGCAATTTCAACTTCTTTGTGTTCATATATTTTCAGAAAACAGGGGTAATAGGTACTTAGAGTGCACCAGTGCCATATATGCCATTCAATATAAGAGAGCTCTTTCTTTGTTTTGTTTTTTTTTTGGCTATGATGATAAGATTTAACATGTAAAAGGTTACATTTATGACTTCTATGACTCAGTGTTTCATTCTGCTGTTTATTTGTGACAGGTCATGTTTTGTTTTTTTTACAATATAGTACAGCAATATGTCGAACTTCAGTATTTGTTATTGTAACAAGGCCTAGCCACATACACATGTATATATATATTAATACATGGGAGAGCCAGAGCACTTATCTAATGCAATAACTACCTTTACAATCTCCATCCTTTTATAATATTGAAAAATATAGTCTGTAAGCTTTACATTGCACTGGCAAAATTGCTTCTACAAACTAAACAGCCATCCATTTTTGACAGCACTTTTGATAGTCACTCATACAAATACACCCATTATCTCGTACAATGGAAAAAGCACTACACTGGAAAATGCACGTCTTCCTGAGAGTTCCACTAATGCCCTGGGATGCGCTGCCGTCCCCCGCACATATTACCCATATTATTATTTTCACTTACTGAAATGATTTAATTTCATCAGCAGCATAATCAGGTTAACTGATTACCCAGAGCCACAGCACAGACACTGGCTTTAAGCAGAGATGTGCGTTAATACCACAGAGGGCACTGCAGGAGGAGGAGAGAAAGAGGAGGGAAAGTAGAAAACAGAGAGGATAAAATAACATCTATTAGCCATAACATTATGACCACCTGCTTGATACTGGAAACCATATTATGTGTTATGACTAAATAGTTAATGTATTGCAGTTATACAGTGGTTTTGTTAATAATGTGAACCAGTTGTGTTCAGTAACGTTATGGTAAATATTTTATATAGCACATTTCCACCTTCAAGCTACCAAAAGTGCTTTTCATCAAAGAACCACTGACCCACACACACATTCATGTACCAGTGTATGCAGACACTACGGGCAAGGTGGGCTGAGTGTCGTCCACAAGGACACAACAACAACATTCATATGTGGGAGCAGGAATCACACTGCCAACCTGTGGGTCTGTGGATTCGATTGAGCGGTCAGGCTCAACCAATGCTGTTTATGCCAGTAGCGGGATTCGAACCGCCAACCTTCAGACCAGTCGACACCGGGGCCGCTCAAGCGGTAACGGAGAGAAACAGGGGCAGATTTTTTACATTCAAATAGCTCTTATTCAGAAACTAGAGGGACTATTGAAATAAGTAAGGTATTAGAATGTAGGAAAGAGTTAACACTCCAAGAGGGTAAAGTTAACCCTGTGATATTCTTTCAAGTTGTTGACAAAAAATTTTAAAACTCATGTTGGTAACGGAGGGAATGAAATATGCAGCACTTTTTGGGCAATAAATACAAACAGCGATAACTAGCGGTTCTCACTTACATATCCTTAACAAACTGGTTTGAATATTTGCTTCATATAGTTTTCTACCATATGGTACAAGATTAGGTTTAAAAACCTCTTACTTTTTGAGTAATGAGATTTTTTATTAAGAAAGGTCATGGTAACGGAGGGGAAATTGTGCAAGCAAGTAGAAGGTGCATGATTTTACATAATTTGGCAGCTTTTTTCTTCAGAATACTTTAATATTACTTCAAAATGAAAGGTAACTATTTCTATAAAATATGTCAGTCCTTCCAAGCTAATTTTAACATTTTAAATACTTTTTTTTTTTTTTAAATCATGTACCTTCATCAACAGTTCAAAGATCGAATAACACAAGATATGATGAAATACATCCATTTATTTACATGATTTGCAGGTCTTTGAAATTTGGGAAATATTTTTTGTTCCATGTTGCATACATGGTCTGTTTAAAACATATGTAACTTTAGAACCAAAAATGGTACAGAAAAAAGGTCAACAGTTTCATAAACTAGAGTACATACACTATCTGTTGAACACATTTTTATATAAAATGCATTAACTTGAATTTTTGGCCTTGCTGTTTACTTCTGCTTGACCGGGCCCCACTACCAACT